AAAAAAAAAAAAAAAAAACACCTAATGGAGGGGAAAACCACAAATCACTTATAAAGAAAAAAGGATCAGAACCACATAACGCTTCTCTGTAACACAAGCTACTTTTATATTCTAAGGCAAAAGAAAGTTTTAGACAAGCTCACTCAGAAATCATACCACCCAGAAGCTGGGTGTGGTGACACATGCCTGTAGTCCCAGCTACTCCGGAGGCTGAGGTGGGGAGATCAGTTGAGCCCAGGAGTGTTGAATCCAGCCTGGGCAACACAGAGAGACCCATCTCTTAAAAAAAGAAAAAAAGGGAGGGAGGAAGGAAGGATGGAAGGATCATACTACCTACATTTTTCTAGATGTATTCCAGCCAACTGGAAGATGAATCAGTAGTATAAAAATGTAAACTGTCATATGAATGAAGGGGTAGAAAATGAAAGAAAAATTTAAGTAAGAAGAAAAAGAACATGAAAGCACAAAGTAAGGTGGTAGAAATAAACATAATCACAATAAAGGAGAAAAATCCCCAGCAAAGGCAAACCCTCAAATTGGGTAAAAACCTAAAAATCCTATTCATAAGAGAATAAATGAAATGACACAGATTGGTTGAAAACAAAGGGACAAGTAGATGCAAATAAAAAGAAAGCAGATGTGGCAAAACTGTATAAAGAAAAAAAGCATTAAATGCTACAAGAGGGTTTTAAAAAATCCTAATAAGCAAATACTCTACAAAGTCATGAACATTTTTAAAGGGAATAATAAAGCACTGAAATATATAGATATAGAGAAAAGCCAATTAAAAAGAAAAAGAAAAACAGACAAAATACAAGAAAAGCACAAATTTAAACACACTTCTCTCAGAATTTAACAGAAAAAGTAGACTGCAAATATGAGAACTCAGAAAACTAGATCATTATTTTTTCATCTGAACAGGGGATACACTTTACAATGATTATTAAATTAATTGTAACAGGCAGACTGCTCAGTGGCTCATGCCTGTAATCTTAGCACTCTGGGAGGCCAAGGCAGGAAGATCACTTGAGGTCAGGAGATCGAGACCAGCCTGAGCGAGAGTGAGACCCATCTCTACTAAAAATAGAAAAAAGTAGCTGGGCGTGGTAGCGAGTGCTGTAGTCCCAGCTACTTGGAAGGATGATGCAGGAGGATCACTTGAGCCCAGAAGTTAGAGGTTGCAGTGAACTATGATGATGCCACTGTACTCCAACTTGGGCGACAGTGAGAGACTGTCTCAAAAAAAGGAAAAAAAACCTGTACACACAAATAGTAATACCAATCAAATTTATAAAGACACAAGCAAAATTCCAAACATATTAGCAAATTAATAGAATAGTACACCATTAATTCTAGTTCATTCTAGAAAAAAGCTCATTCTAGAAATGTGAGGATGGTACCATTATCAAATTTATGACTAATACTAAGAGATTCAAAAAGGAAAACCCCATCACTGTCTCACCAGATGTAAAAAAAAAAAGGCTTTGGATGGAAATTCGACACTTGATCCTGATGAAAACAGTTAATATTCTAGTAACAGAACGGCACCCCCTCTACATGGTCTATTGAAATGAACAACAAACACAGAACTTAACACTGATAAATTAGAGGTGGTTTCATCAAAGACAGAACAAAATAAGGGGACTACTCTCACTGGAAGTTCTACCCAATGAAAGTAAACAGGAAAATAGAAATGAGGTAGAAACTAGAAAACTCTTCCAAATGATTACTAGTTTGAGACATTACTTTCTAAAAACCACAAATAAAGCAAAAAAAAAAAAAAGTTAACATGAGAATTAAACCATGTAAGACAAATAAAGCAATCAACTGTTTTCCTTTAAAACAGCAATAAGCAGTTTGAAAAGATGATGGGGAAAAAGACCCTAGCCACAAAACAGCAAAATACACATTCTGCTCAGGATTAACGAACGAATGCTACTGGGACGAGTAGATAGTCGTTCGTGAAAAAGTAAAATAAAATTAGAGGCCTATAACTTTTACAGTCACATAAAATCTAAAACTATAAAAGCAACAGAAAAAAATATAGGTGGATTTTTTTTATAATCTAGGGCTATGGAAGGTTTCTTAAAATTTTCACATCAAAGGTGCTAACACTATGAGGAAAAAGACTACAGACTAAAACTTAAATGTAT